ACTCCGGGGGAATGGGGAGGAAATGGAAGGTGGGAGAGGAGCGAGAGGGGGGGGGGGGGGAGGGAAGGAGAGGAGCGAGAGGGGGGGGGAGGGAAGGAGAGGAGCGAGAGGGGGGGGAGGGGGGGGGAGCGAGAGGGGAGGGGGAGGCGGAAGGGAAAGAGAAGGGAGAAGAGAGAGAGAGAGAGAGAAGAAATAGAGAGAGAGAGAGAGAGAGGGAGAGAGGGTGAGAGAGAGAGGGTGGGGAGGGAGAGAGCGAGGGAGGGAGGGAGGGAGGTAGGGAGAGAGAGACAAATAGGTAGATAGAGATAGGAGAGAGAAAAGAGAAAGAAAGAAAGAAAGAAAGAGAGAGAGAAAGGAAGGAGAAGCGACCAACATAGAGGGAGATAGAAAGAGATATAGCTAGCTAGCAAGAGATAGAGAGATAGCGAGAGAGAGAGAGAGAGAGAGAGAGAGAGAGCGAGAGAAACATATAGATAGATAGACAGATAGAGAAAAAAAGAAGGAAAGAGAGAGATAGAGATAAACAGAGAGGAATGAATGAAGGAAGGATGGAGAGAGAAATGTAGTAGATAGATAAATAGATAGAGAGAAGAAAAAGAGAGAGGTGAGGAAGGGAGATGAAAGAGAAGAGAGGGAGAGAGTTAGGGAAGGGGATGAAAGAAAGAAAGAAAGAAATTAAGAGAGAATGGAAGGAGAAGCGACCAAGATAGAGGGAGATAGAAAGAGATATAGCTAGCTGGAGAAATTGAGAGATAACGAGAGAGAGAGAGAGAGAGAGAGAGAGAGAGAGAGAGAGAGGGTGGGGAGGGAAGGAGGTAGAGAGAGAGAGGGAGATAAGTAGATAGATATAGAAAGAGAAAGAGAAAAAAAGGTCAGAGAAAAAAACAAAACAAAACAGATAAATAGAAAGAGAGGAAGGAAGGGAGGTGAGAGTTAGATGTAGATAGATAGATAAATAAAGTGAAGGCGAGGGAGGGAGGCACAGAGGAAGGGAAGGGGGGAAAGAGAGAGAGAGAGAGAGAGAGAGAGAGAGAGAGAGAGAGAGAGAGAGAGAGAGAGAGAGAGAGAGAGAGAGAGAGAGAGAGCGAGAGAGAGAGAGAGGAAAGAGTCAGAAAAAAAATAGATAGATAGAGAAAAAAAGAGAGGAAAGAGAGAGATAGAGATAAATAGAGAGGAAGGATGGAGAGGGAGATTAGATAGATAGATAAATAGATAGAGAGAAGAAAAAGAGAGAGGTGAGGAAGGGAGGCAGAGAGGAAGAGAGGGTGAGAGTAAGGGAAGGGGGTGAAAGAAATAAAGAAAGGAATAAAGAAAGAGAGAATGG